TTTTCTCCTGCTGCCACCTGATGTGAATTAACTTAAGTCCCCTGGCATCTGAAAGACCCACCAAAGCTTCCAGGTTTGAGTCCAGTGGCACCTTTAAGAATGACAAAATTTAAATCTAGGTATAAGCCTTTCGTGTGCATGCTGATGAAGTTTGCAGAGTTAAACTCTGTTGGTCTTAAAGGTGCCGCTGGCCTCAAACTCTGTTCTCTTGCTTCAGACTGACGGGGCTGCCCCACCTGGATCAAAGTTTCCGGGGTGAGTCAAGGATGACCTCATTGGCTGCAGCTGGGCATGAAGGTCCTCTCTAGCCCCATATCCAGGTCAAAAGGTGGGAGGGGTGTTACAAAGAGGGGTCAGCAGGAGTCAGAGATCCATCTCTGTGGACCTGGTCAGCCAACAAATTTAATACCAGTTTATAAGAAGGGAGACGAAGTGGACCCATCCAGCTACAGGCCAACCAGCAGTTTATCGGTGGCCAGGAAGCATCACACTCTGCCCCTTTGTTACGGACTCACGGGCTGGTTGGAGACAAAATCTTGGGAAGGGAACAGGCCGGCTTTAAGTACAGATGATCATCTTCTGACATCACCGTTCTTAATACACAATCAAGAGTCGGCAGATCCTTGCTGCTTCCTTCACGGATCTGAAGGCAGTTCTGTGCCCGATTGTGACACAAGCTAAAACGAACATCTGTTTACAAGCGCCTGTTGACTCTGGTTGACAGTATGTATTCTAATCCCACTGCACAAGTCCGCGATGGTTAGATGGACCACTTTCCAACATAATGTCCCTGCAGCAGGGAGTGCTTTGGGTGCCTGCTGGCCCCTTTCTGGTTTAATTTATATATCAACAATATGATTTCTGCTGTCTCTGTCCAGGACTTTAATTCTCCATCCATTGCTAACATTACAGTTTCTGACTTTTTCCTGATGATGCCATTCTCCTATCAAGAACAGGTCCTCTCTGATAGAGTCTTTTGTCTCCTACTGTCTGGAAGGACGCCTGATAGTTAACTATCAAAAATCCAAGATTGTTTTGGAGGCGAAATGTCAAGAACACCACAAGTGGGAAATAGTAATGATACTGAGGAGGTCCCTTATTTTAAACACTTCGGGACCAGAGATTAACTGGATCAGTGCAAGCGGCTTGTGTGGAAAGACTGGCCACGGCTGCATCAGATATTGTCTGTCCTTTCTTTTATTCACCTGAGGCTCCGTATATCCCAGCTTGATAAAACAGGAGAGTCCTTGGATGCAGTTCTTAAGTTCCTGTGTTCCATCTGCGGAATTCTGACGTGTGTAGCGGGGTTCACCCTCCAAGCGGAACTGGGACAGCCACCTCTTGAAGCTCAGCCTTGGCTGGAGGGTCTTCCCCCTTACAGTTAAAATTGCACACTCCAAAATGCAACAGGGCTACCTCGGCTCAGTCAGTGAGGATTCTTATGTTTCCCACGGGGATAAACTCATCAAGCAACACATACAGCTCCTCAGTCTTTCCCTGGACTCCCTTTATTCAGTTACTGGAGGGAAAGCCATGAGAACGATTAAGAAATGTCTATTCAAGTATAACAGTACAATCTGTAGAGCACACTATGTCTGTTCTACCCAATTTGCTGGTATTTTTCCACCTGGAGAACTTCCTGATTCCTGCTTATAGTTGACTATTCCTCACTATAGGTGTGCTTTTATGTTGGTGCATCTTAATGAACTAGCACCGAGAGCTTTGCAAAGGAGGTTAAGATCCCGTACTCTGATAGGGTGTGCATCAAGGGTACAGGTAGTGTAGACACCCTGTACCACATGACCCCTGAATGTAATTATTTTTTCTGAGTCTAGAGCTCCAAAATATAGATCCTAGGGAGACATCATCTCTTTATTATTAGACCATAGCAGCAGACCTACCACACTTTCAGCTGTGAAATTTTATGCATCTGTGAGAGATTTCTGCAGCCATTCCAAAAGGGTCTAGCTTTTCCTATATTTTAGTAATCTGCTTAGAACAAAGAAGCAGCAGCATGAGGTAGTTAGGTAACAAAAGGTAGTGCCAGGGGCATGGGACTGAGGCTGAACGAAGGACTAGGGGCCTCCAGCCCCTGATCTCGGAAGATGGAGGAGACACAATACAGCTCTTCAGAAAAGTAACCTGCAACTCTGTTAAGCAGAAATTCTTTCTGATTCTGCCAAGCAGAGAACAAAACATCTGGGAAACTTCTCTGAAGCGTTCTGGTCAAAGACCACCATGACAGCAAAGGCCTCCGAAGCACCGCTATGCTGGCTAAGGACACACCCCCGTTTGACTCTCCTAAGGAAGGCTGCAGGAAAATCTTTGATGAACTCATAGACAGCAGCAGCTTTTTCTCAGATGCCAACATGTGAGAAAAATGGAGCCGTTCCTTATAGGAGATTATGACAGCACACGTGTGGGTTTTTTTTTTACAGAACTGACTTGGATGTGTCTCGTGCAGCTGCATCATAACACGTGTGTGAGATGCTGCAAGGGAGTAGAAAGTTAAACTAAGTGAGGAACAAGGAAACCGTCTGCAGCAGCTGGCACCAGCTGGTTGAAATAGGCCTTCCTTGCCCTGTTTCAGTGGGTGCACCAGACAGGCCGTTCTGATGCCTTTGCAGAATACTGGCATTTCTGTGGCCAAGCCAGGCTCTCCGACACGGACACAAACAGCTCTCTTGGGAAATGGATCTTAACATGACAGCAAAAGAACTCATCCAGAGAGCACCAATTAGAAAAAAATATATATATTCAGGGTTGAAGAAGTCTAGCGATATACGCATAGGCCACATTTGCCCTACTACGAACTTCAGCTAGGTCTATTTATCGCTCATTTGCGTAATAAAGAACTGTTTCAGGCAACTTATATTTGGATTTATGTTTGGATCTTGTCCTTTGGCCCCACCCTCCCCTAGGTTTGCCTGCGCCCCCTCCCCCGGAAATGGCGATGTCAACGCCACAGCTTGCAGGGGGAGGGAAGATGGCACCCCCAGCCACTGGAACACACAGGTGGTTTCGTGTCCAAGAACACCGCGATCTGCCCGGCCGGAAGCAGAGCACACAGGACCAGCCTGTGCCGGCGGGCCAAGCTAAACACACCGTGCTGGTGATGCAGCCCCTCTCCTCCCCTCCCCTGCCCGCAAAGCAGGGCTCGCCTCCCTCCCTTCCTCCCTGGGCCAGCCCCACCCCTTTAGATGCCGCTGAACAGCAGAGAGCCCCTTTTCCCCAGCAGGCCCAGGCCCTCCCTACCCCTGCACACTTTGGGGGCTTCCCTCCTGCCCCCCCCCCAGCCTTAGTCACACCTCCC